GATGAAGATCAGCACATTTCACAAGGCTTTATAGTGGCAGAAAAGAGCCTACTATTTGAAGTTACAAACTTTTCAGTGATTGAGGGATTAGTCACTCATAGCAACATACGATGTTTTCCACATAAGTTATCCAAAGCCAATACCGGCATTTTCACTGTTACTTTTTTTACAGGAGTATTTGATGGAGATTTTAGATTCTTATGCAAAGAAATCAGCCAGATACAAGGCTTGTGTCAACAGACTAACAAAACTACAGAAACCCAAGAGTATTATTTAGTAACTAACTAAGTATTAGACATTAGACATAATTAGGCATAGTAGTGGACACATAATAAAACGTAATGGACTAAGTCATGGAATGGCTGTTATTATTCATGTATAGAATGTAATATTCTTTACTGTATAGTACATGTATATATTATTTGTATATAAATATATATATATAAATATATTATATAATAACATTGTATTATTTTAGTAGATGTTTTATACTTAAGATAATATTGATAATAGGTTTGTATTCCATCTGTAGCCAGTTTCGTGTCTGTTTTCACCTGGAATGAGATAATTGAATAATCATTAATTATTCATAACAAGAGTGTAGTTTCAGCACAGCAAATTAGTACATTATTTCAAACGTGTTAATTCAACATGTGTGTAATGTGCTAAAATCTGGGACATTCATTTAACACAGTTTCTTGTGCTGGAATGACACGTTTTTTTTGTGTGTACTATTGCATACAGCTTCCCATATTTACAAATCAGTGATGAATTGCATACGCAGTTATTGTATATTGACACCATCATCTCCATTCTTAATGTAGCAATTTCTCCTTTATTGTACTACTCCACTATTATACCTTGCATCTTGTATCATTTATAATTGTTTCCTTCATTTCTAAAATTGTAGACAAGATTTCACTGTAAGATGCAGCTTCAGTGACACTCAAAGGACCTTTTTGTGCTTGTAATAAATTAAGAGAGAGTCTGATTTATTTTAATTTTGTGCAGCTCATTTATCATCTGATCGAAATATACTGGTATGTAAGAATTAAATAGCCCAGAGGGAACTCAAACAGCATTGCTGTGATGTCATTGTCTTTAAGATCTTGTGTGAGACTAAAAAGTCATGATTTTTTCCATTTTTTAACATATTGCATGACTTAATTTACAGTCTCAGCATTCATCTAACTATAGCTTTTTTGATTCAAAACCTGTAACTTCAAAACAGTCACATTCGCATTTGTTTTGTCATGGATAGTGTTTTCCTCCGAGTTTTTTAGTACTACAAATATAGCAATTAGTAATTTTTAAATGAGTAGTTACACTAGTAAAATGTTAATTATTTCAATGCTGTAATAAGTTTCAAGAAATAAAAGTAGAATAAATGATCAATTATGAGACGGCACACACAAAAAACTAGTGTGTTATTTGGTACACATTTTACTGTGTTGTTTTGCCTGTAGGTGTGCTAAATTACTAAAACAGCACACTAAGTGTGCTGTTTCAACACATACACACTTGAACCATTAAATTAACACACCTAGTTGTCATAGAA